TTAAAGTAAAATCAAGTAAAAAATATAGCAACCTATTTAATTTTGGTGTATATATCACACTATATAAGTCACTGGGAAACATAATTCATAGTGCGGTTTGGAGGGTGTTACAAGAACAATTATTGTATCCCTACCACATTTAAAGCCTACAAAGCTCTCCAGAAAAAGGGGAGTCTCATCTCGTGGTCAGCGAGGTCGCCAGACTTAAATCCTTGCGACTTTCAGCTCTGGGGACATGAAGACATTAGTATTGATAGTCGAAAAACATTTGAGCGAAAGATACTTAAGGCAGGCTAAATCATTCGACAGCAACTTTCAACTACTATCACTTGGAGCAAAAATATTGGACAGTTATAGGCAAATGTTAGACAAAGGTTCCTATATTAACTAATATCGATCATTTTTAGAAAGTTCATACATTATTTTCAAATTTGTTTCAAATGGAACACCCTGTATTTTATTGTTCTATTTTATTCACATATCGGTCCACTTCGACTTTTGTTAAGCATGTTCTACATATAAAATTGTTAGTTTTTGAAAATTTGCATCATTTCTGAAAAAACTAAATTTGTATTATTTTTGGTCGCACGAGATGGCTTTGGAAAAAACTGTCACATTGTCAGTTACTAGTATATATTTATTAGTTGGCATTCTATAAAATAAATTGTGTGGTCACTTAATGTTAGGGGCGAAATTATTGGACTTTAGGTTATTGGGCTTTATTTTTCCGAAGAACATTTAACAAGGTAATTTTCTTTACTTTTTTTTAAAAAATAAAAAATACCATGGAAAATTTATAAGAAAATGTACCGCTAATTATTCGCCGAAGAATGTGGTATTTACATGTTGGAGCCCTTTTACACAACACGCAGGAAGTTCCTGGATTCTTAAACAATTGTAGTAATAATGATGATTGAAAATAAAAATGTCGGTTGGTTCGTCGGTTATTTCTTAAACAGTTTTATTTCTTTCTTAAGACACTGCAGACTACAAACACAATCGCCATATTAATACACGTTATCTCTCCTTCCTCTTCTTCCTATTATAAAGACGAATTCTTACCAGTCGCACCGTCTGTGATCGTCCTACCAACTTACTAAAGACAATAGCTTTGTTCCTACAACAGTTTGAAACGGTCCCAAACTGTCAGACGCATGCGCATACACATTATAGCGTTCCAAGTACCGTCAATCACGAATTTGAACTACTAGTTTGTTGTTCCAAGAAGCCAAAACGACAATTTGCAAACTGTCCAAACAATTCTCGGATTCTTTCAGAACTATAAATTCAACGCATGCGTATTGTGATTATTTTGAATTTATTCGTAAACGTTTAGTTAACCCTACTTGTTAGGTTATGATTTTAAGTAAAATATAAGACGAAAGACACTGTGAAAAGGTAAGATTTTCATTATACCTATACTGAATACAAGACACTATGAAAAGGGAAGATTTTCATTATATATTGTATACTTAGATATTTTTTGAAAGATTACTTAAAAACTGCTACTTACATATTATTTTAGATGGATGAATCGTCATCGGATGATAATTTAAGCAACACATATCACTTGATTCATTGAGTGAAAGTAGTGATGAAGAATATCAATTTAATATATGCAGATAGCAGTAGACCAAAAAATGAAAATTATATAGTTGACACAGTAAGTATGTACATCATATTTTGAAAATCACCATCTTAATATTTTTGTTTTTCAGATATTCTGATAATGAGTTTCTAGAAAACTTCCGTGTATCTAGGATAATTGCGAATGAGGTGACACAACAATTTAATTCCAGTAATTATTTTTCTATAAATGTAGGAGAATATGATAAAATAACTGCATATGAACACACCTTAATATTTCTCTGGTATGCTGGACATGAAACCGCAAGCTTCCGAGATGTTGCAGATCGATTCTGCATCTCAATAATTTGCTTATGGAGAGTTATTCGTCGTGTCACATTTTATAAGCATTGAATTATCACCACAAGTAATAAAATGGCCATCAACAGAAGAAAAAGTTATAATTGAAAGTCATTTTCGAAACAATGGTTTTCCCGGCGTAATGGGTGCCATTGACGGGACACATGTTTGTAAAGATAGGCCAAAGGAGGACCCTGATTCTTACTTGAACAGGAAACATTACTTTTCTATACAGGTAGTATAAAAATATACACAAGCTAAACATAACGACTAACATTTTTATTATATTATAGGTTCAAGTTGTGTGTGACCATGAGCGTATCACAAAAAGCTTTTTTTGTGGGTTTCCAGGATCAGTCCATGATAGCCGGGTGTTTCGAGCTTCTCCATTATGCGACAACATCCACGACAAATGTGGGGATTATTATTTATTAGGAGATAGTGGTTACCAGTCTCCGAAACCTTCTGACTTCTTTCGTGATCGGGGACAATTACANTCTTCGGAAAACGAATTTGTGCCAATTTTTAGTCGCCAGTCCATAAAGCTGTTATATACAATTGTGTAATTTTTTCGTGATTTCTCTGGAAGTAATTCCAATGATGCTAATTTCGCGGCTTCACGAATTTCAGGAGGGGTGCATCGAATTTCATTTTCATTGTCAGAATTCATGGTTAAACACAATTTACATTAACAATTGAAAACTGCAAAATTACTGCAAAAGTTAAAAATGTTTTATTTTGCGAAGTGTTGTCAAATCACATTAGTTTACCATAGTAACAACAATTCAAGCAAGCTCGATTCTATTTTGTAATGCGGTCAGAAGCTATGAGGGATACGTATAAATATTCATATTCCACACCTGTGGAATATGAAACTCATATTCCACGGGTGTGTAATATGAGTTACATTATGTACTTACTATCACAATTATAATGCGTCTATTATTAAATAGTCGTAGATAAATAAATTTTTGACAAAATTCATTCATTAATTTATCAAAAAATTTATTTAAAAAAATGATTATTTTCAGTGACAGGCATAACTATAGGTACCATCTCATAATATAACACAACAAAAATAAAATCAATGTATAAAATAGAAAAACAAAACATAAGAGTTAACAACTTAAAAATAATAAGGAAAAAAAACACTAATTATAACTATCTAACTTGTAACTGGTCACTAATTATTATAAAATCATTAAAATTATCAGTAGATAAATTGAAGTACAAAAAATAAACAAATTCTGATTTGTACTGGAACAAAATTTGATTAACCACATATCTATGTATTTCCCTGAAATGCAATTTCAATTAATTTTTGTTGATTTTTATGAGTATCTAACTCAATATTGAGTTTTTTCTTCTCTGTTTCCATTCTTTTTTCCTTTCCCACTTGTCTGGTTCAAACTTTTGTTTATGTAGTAATGCGTCTCTTTCTTGTAACGCAAGTTCTCTGGATCGAATTTCAAACCACCTCTCATTTTTTTTTGTTAAGTAACCGAAGGTAGACTGTTTTAGTGAAATAACTACTCGTTTCCTAGTGGGGGCTAAAGCAGAAACAAAAAATAATGTATTACAAGTAATACAAAAATGTATAAGTAGGGTAGTTTTACCGTTTGGGAGTCTCCCCCCTCCACTTTCTGGCTTGGGATGACCTTGAGGCCGAAGGCCGATGACGTTTGTGTCTGGATGACTTTGAGGCTGAAAGCCGAAAGTGACGTAGGTTGGTGACTTTCATTTGACATTGCATTGCAGTTAACCTTGAAAGAGGCCGAAGGCCGATGACGTTGGTGTATGGATGACCTTGAGGCTGAAAGCCGAANTTTTCAGATATTCTGATAATGAGTTTCTAGAAAACTTCCGTGTATCTAGGATAATTGCGAATGATGTGACACAACAATTTAATTCCAGTAATTATTTTTCTATAAATGTAGGAGAATATGATAAAATAACTGCATATGAACACACCTTAATATTTCTCTGGTATGCTGGACATGAAACCGCAAGCTTCCGAGATGTTGCAGATCGATTTTGCATCTCAATAATTTGCTTATGGAGAGTTATTCGTCGTGTCACATTTTATAAGCATTGAATTATCACCACAAGTAATAAAATGGCCATCAACAGAAGAAAAAGTTATAATTGAAAGTCATTTTCGAAACAATGGTTTTCCCGGCGTAATGGGTGCCATTGATGGGACACATGTGTGTAAAGATATGCCAAAGGAGGACCCTGATTCTTACTTGAACAGGAAACATTACTTTTCTATACAGGTAGTATAAAAATATACACAAGCTAAACATAACGACTAACATTTTTATTATATTATAGGTTCAAGTTGTGTGTGACCATGAGCGTATCACAAAAAGCTTTTTTTGTGGGTTTCCAGGATCAGTCCATGATAGCCGGGTGTTTCGAGCTTCTCCATTATGCGACAACATCCACGACAAATGTGGGGATTATTATTTATTAGGAGATAGTGGTTACCAGTCTCCGAAACCTTCTGACTTCTTTCGTGATCGGGGACAATTACAACACCGTGAAATATAATATATTAATAGGAGATTGTGTCGAAACAGATATATTATTGAACACTGTTTTGGAATTTTAAAACAGAAATTTCGGCAACTGTTTCATATAAAAATGAAAAAAATACCTGATGTTATCCATTTTATAAGAGCGTGTTGCACTCTTCATAATTTAGCGATGAAGGATGAAGATGAACTTAGAATTTGTTAATGAAGAGCAACTAGTGTATGAGGGCCTAGTAGCAATAGAGGAACATGAATGTATGACGATGACAGAGATGGAATAGAAATCCGAAATCATTTATGTAGACATGTACTCCCTAATTATTAATTTTTAATTATGTATTTAAATAATTGTTTAGACTAGTTTAGTTTATTAATGTTATTTTGGTTTGTTGAGTTTTTAAAACATTTACAGATTCATTCATAAATAATAATTTATTGCAATAATAAACAAAATAAATATTCGAAAAATAAACTAATTGATGTAATACAAGAAAACAATAAACTTAATAAAAACAAAAAAATTGTTTAGATGCTTCTACAAAATTAATATTCTTATGTATAGTCGAATCGCAAATTCAACGTATGCACGTCACTAACCTGATGGAATTGATTTTATATAATAATGCATAATGGCAACATAATTTTCAATATTTTGTCGCATTAAAACAGTTAATTAAGGTATCAGTAGTATATACTAGAGTGACTGAGTGTGTGAGTGACTAGTGTGACTGAGTAATGTATGATTATATCCTTAATTTAAATGAATCTGATTTGACTGACAGATGACGTGCATGCGTTGAATTTGCGATTAGATTGTAGGAAAACATTACAATATTGTTTGCGTAAACGTATCAAGAGAATTATTTTGTTTTTTTAATATTTCATTCCTTTCCTCCAACAATCTATTTTTATTTTGCAATTCCCGTAACTTCTCACGTTCTACTACCATTTTTTCTTCAAATTGGTCTTTACACAATTTTAAGCGCTCGTCATAGTATTTTAATTTATCGGTTCTTACATTTTCTAATATATCATTTCTAGTGTTTCTTTTTCTTTTTAATATTGTTTTGTATTTTTTACTATTATTTTGCTGAATGTCTGTTCTTTCCTCTTTACTTACAGCGGGTTCTTCAGATTCTTCACATTGTTGAGAAGTTGATGGTACATCATATCTGTAAAAATGTAAAAATCTTTGGAAAAATTATCATTATCAGCATAGTGAAATTAAAAATAAAAGACAAAACCATTTTAATTACAAGCAAATAGTTCACATAATTAATACTAATTAGTATTCCTCCATCTTTGGAAATCACAATACCTTGCTCCGTTTGATTCACTAACTGCATTTGATGTTTGAATTTCTATAGCTGAATCTTCTGTTAATAATAATTCTGGATGTATATTCCTTTTTCTGCCAAAAATCTCATCAAATTCTTCTGCATATTCAAACGTTTTTCTGTCTCGTCCAGTTTTCTTATTATTATCACATACATATTTCTTGTAGTTTCTTTTTAGCACACGCCACCTATTTTCACATTGGGCATCTGTTACATTTATAGGTAATTCCTCGTTCATTAAATTGGCTATAATTTCCCAAAATTGTTTCATTGATCTAATTTTCAGTGAACCTACTTGGTTCCGATATTTCTTATATAAATAAATTAAACTTTTGGTCTCATTTGCAGTCCATATTTTATATTCTCCACTTTTATTCTCTACTGAATATTTTGTTCATATACCATATCAGGAGTTTGTACAATTATGTATGTTGGTGTATCTAAAACATATTCACTTTCAATAAACAATAATATATGGGTACCTATAAATGAATTATACATATATACCTTCCATTTTATCAGTTTGAGCGGTACTTTAATTTATTATTGATCTTGACTTTAATCACAAGTCACTCGCTATTTATTGTACAAATTAAGGTTAGAAATGACGAAACGTCAAACGTAAGGTCACGTTCCTAGTAAAAATATTTGGATTCGATTTGAATTTAGTTCAAAACTGGACATGCGCACAACAAATAAATCCCAAACTGTTGCAAATTGTTACTAGGAACAAAGCTAATGGTATAACCACAGAGTACCCAATACAAAGGCGAAAGATAGCCTTCCCGCCAAAACCAATTTTCAATGCGCATGTGCAAAAATCGCCATTTTCTAACTGGTATATCTGTCAACGTCATTATTTGCTCATTTCTAGGAACGGTGTCAAACGAGTACGTTTGTGATTGTTTATGTTATTATAAACATTATGGTTTTGTGCATAATTAGTGGTTATAAACAAAGTGTTGCTTATCAGGATTGATAAAGATGTCTCGTAAAGGAGGAACTGTTTGTGCTTTTCGAGGATGTTCATCCAAAACGGGCGGAATTGTATCCTTATTCTCTTTTCCAAAAGATTCTGTGAGGTACGTAAATAAAGTAGCTTAGTTTAGTGTGAAATTTAGTAGCTTTAAGCATGATTTGAGTAATAACTGTTTTTGGGAACTGCATATTTTCAGTCTTCCAAATGAAGCTTATCGTATGTGGTACATTGAAATAAACTTATTTTTTATTTTCAGAGCTGAATCATGGCTGAATGGCTTGTAACCGAGAGGATTTTCTAGGCAAAAGTGTGGATGTTTTATATAAAAATTACAAATTATGTGAGAACCATTTTGAACAAAAATATATCTCACAAGGCGGTGGAACCCGCAAACATTTATTTGACCATGCAGTTCTTATTATTTTTTCCTATAGTGCCAGAAATTTCCCTACTCGTATTATTGATACTAATACCGATTCTGATGAACCACCTAGAAAAGTTGTAATTTTTTCTGGTAAGTATTTAATTAAAATTTGTAAAACGAATCTTACTGCAATAGGAAATTAAAAAGTTTTCCCCCGATATTGTAAAAACTTGGTTCAATATTGTGGTTAATAGATGTAATTATTTTATAAGATAATTAGTTAATCGGGTACCTCATACAATGAATCCTCTAATCTCGATCTCGATTCTATCTCTAATCTCTAATCTCGGTTTACTCGAATTGGAAACAACCAATTGCTTATTTTTTTGTAAACATACAATTTAAAGCAAAAGAACTGCGTACCATTATTAAACAGTGTATAGAGAAATTATACTCAATCGGGTTATATGTTGATGCTCCTGTGAGTGATATGGATTCCAATTTTATCAAACTGGCTAATAGTCTGCGTGTTACTCCAATGAATCCAGAATTTGTAGTGGGTGATAAAAATATTATTTATCTCTTTGATACATGTCATTTAATGAAAGCAACCCGAAATAATCTGATAAAAAATAGTTTCTATTTTGATGAGAAAAAAACCTCATGGAAATATGTCGATATGTTTTATCAACGAGATAAAAATCAAAATTATAGATGTGCACCCAAACTTACTGATTCCCACATAAATTCCAGTAATTTTGAAAACATTAGGTTTAAATATGCTGCTCCAGTGTTAAGTAACACTGTAGCAAGTGCGATGAATACGTACGTCACTTTAGGTGCACTTCCTGCTGATGCTATGGCAACAATTGAGGTTATAGAAAAATTTGACAAGCTTTTCGACTTACTAAATTCATCGGAGACGAATCACCCAAATAGATATAAAAATGTATTTGATGGATCCGATTATCAAATCGAGCACCTTAAGGAAATGATTGATTTTCTTAATAAATTACAGATCTTAGATCTCAATGGGGCTGATGTTACTACAAAATCGAAATTCAGAACTTCTTGGTAAATCACTATTAATGGTATTATAAAAATTTGGGAAAAATTGCAAGCTGCTGATTTTAAATATTTAAAAACGAGGAGACTGAACCAAGATGCTATTGAAAACTTTTTTGGTGGTATCAGACAGCAGGGGGGCAATCCGATAAATCCAACACCAATTCAGTTTGAAAGAGCCTTCAAAAAACTTTCTTGCCAAAGTTTTCTACATACAAGTACCATAAACTGCAATGAAGATTTCGATCAGTTGTTGACAAAATTGAATTCAACCAACACTATTATCACACACAAAAATGAGGATGAAATAGAAGAGAATTAACCAATAGCCCTTCCCGATTACGATTACAGAAATGAAATTTTGATAATGCAAAATGCATTCAATTATGTTTGCGGATATTTAATTAAAAAAAGCTCTGAATACTCACACTTGCGACATATGCCACAAGTTTTCTGTGAAAGCAAACGAGTTAAATATAATAAGTAATAAAAATTATTTTTACTTCAGAATTTTTATTTTTCCTTGTCCTCGGCTTCGCTCCTAAAATTATTTTCCCTAGGTTTAAGTTACCAATGAAATAACAAACATAGTATTCAAATTAAGTACTTTCTAAAGGGTTCTAAGAAACTACGGAGAAGTTCTTCCACTATCATCAAAGTGCTGCACTTCTCTTGACGTACGGTTCTCTAACCAAGTTAGCACCCTCAGAATATGATCAGACTTAATCATCCTCTGATGTTTTTCATTTCACTAAAGGTTCCAATCCAGTTCAAGATAAAGGCTTCTAAATCTAAACATCAAATGATTTTATGTTTTTTTGTAGGTTTACATAGTTCATTGGTTAGTCAAATTTATTTAATTTTCAAACAAACAACCTCTCACTGATCTTTATAGCAAGAGATTTTAATTTTTATTCGTCTTTATTTATTTTTAGTGCCGAAATACCTAAAAAATATACAATCTACATCGACGGATCAAAGAAACAGTTACAGACAATGATTTAATATTCCAGTTTTAAATGTACTGTTCTTCCGGTGTACACTAAAACTTAAAAATCAAAATACCTAGTTCTCTCAGTGTAGACGTAACTGGTATACAAGGTCACAGATAATGGCCTCTCCAACTTCAAAGGTGCCGCCAAAGCTTTCGCCTCTGTATTGGGTACTCTGTGGTATAACTATTGCAAATGAGCGCGAAATTCGAAATAAAATGCTATAATTCGGCCTACCTGACGAATCAGATCAACCACGATCTGGTAAAAGAAAAGTTAACTTATATTAACAATTTGACTTCATACACACAGCCTTTTGATACAAATCTTTCAGTCTACTACAATATACACTTCAGTTGAATACTTAATCTAAATCAGAGGTACCAGAGCTACGTTAGCTGCAGGATCGGCAAGTAGCTCTACTAGCAGGATTTTAAAATGCTTTAACTGTAACAGAGAAGGACACATAGCCAACAAGTGTGAGAAGCCCAAACGACCACCAGGAATCTGTTTTGAATGTGATTCGCTTCAGCACCAAGTGAAGTCCTGTCCCAAAAGGAAGGCAAGCAAGTTAGCAAGTACTACTGTCCCCGATAGTAGTACTAGGTCAAATATTGTTGATCTCAAGGGTCCCTATCTAAGTAATGTTGAATATAGAATAGATTATCCTACTGGCATTATTCGTGAGTACAGTTTTATGGCAATTATTGTTGATTCAGGTAGTCCGACTAGCATCATCAAACAAAGATTTGTACCAGAATATTTGAATATTCCATATACATATAAGTCACAATTTTACAGATCTTAGTAGTAGGCATTCGTTGAAGATTTTAGGTATTTTCGAAACCGATGACTCACTCAATTTTATTAGGTCGAGATTTCATTTCATCTTCTTTACTTCATGCATCGGTGAATATTTGTTAATTGAAAAAAAAATTGTTTAGGTAATGACTGATGATTTTTATGAACAAATTATGAACATTGACATTGATGTATCTGAGAAAATGTAACTCTCTTACTATTAATCATGAATAGAGACTTGTAATAAATTGAAAGATTTATATCATGCAGAATATGTCAGTTGGTTCGTCGGTTATTTATTAAAGTCTTTCTTAAGACACTACAGACTACAAACATAATCGCCATATTATTCTCCTTCCACTTCTTATTATAAAGACGAATTCCTACCAGTCGCACCGTCTGTGACCATCCTACCAACTTACTAAAGACAATGCAATTGTATAACTAGTGCAAATGAGCGCGAAATTTGAAATAAAATGCTACACAATAAATTTCCAGCGATGTGGGTTGGAAGAAGTGAACCAATTAGTAGGTCTGCCAGGTCGCCTGATCTGACAAAAATGGATTATTTTCCATAGGGACATGTAAAAGATAGAGTATACCAAACACTCCCACTACCAAAGAGGATATAAAAAACCGAATAATATGAGTTTTTTAAAATATCAACATTGATATTCTGGATAATGTTAACACAACATTTAAACTAGAGCTATGCCTAAATCAAGAAGGACGTCATTTTAAACACTTGTAAAATTAAATATTTGATTTATTTTCGTATTTATTTTGTTAAATAAAATAACAAAAATAAAATAATAAATAAACTGTACCATATTCTATTGAGGTATTTTACTAATTGTAATGAACCATTTTTAGTTTCCAGTTTATGCAAGGCTTTTGGCATTTTTTTCCTTAATTAGTTTAATTGGATAAGGGAATTATCCGCGCGTCCGTTTGCCCTACTTTGACGAGTGCCGCACGCACGACCCCATCACGACTCCTGCTAGTCAAGAGGGGATCGAGGCAACAAAACCATGTTTCCTGGACAAAAATCCTTAGTTCACAACTTGAACCCGAAGAACTCCAGCACCCACCTGAAACCACACAGAGGACCTGAAACCATCCGATCCCGAGGTGTTCGCCACTAAGAGCAGCGATCCAGAATAAGCAAATTGTATTTTCCTATTTCTACTTATCCTGTCAATACAGGATACTCGGCATGACTTGTACCAATGTACAAGTCCTGCCGAGTTTGAACTTTAAGTGCTGGACGGTGGAGCGACGGCGTTGTCAGGTGGCGGGTTAACTGTGAATAACTGTGAATAACATCGCCCTCGTTTTGACGTACGTGGTTGTGCACATTGACTGAAACTGCTGGTTGACTGTGAGTATAATATCCACAGTGGAAGATATTATGTGCTAGTCGTACCGACATATAGGCCCAGGGAGTTGGCTGTGCATAACACCGCTTCCAGGAGAAATCTATCACCGACCGCGCGACCGAACGTGCACCTCGAATAGACTTTACTTTG